TTTATTCCGTGACTGCGACGTTCGCGCGAGCCACGACACAGGCGCTGTCCCATGTGAGCGTTTCTGCATCCTGCATTAAGATTCTCTCTAATCCGAGGATGCGCTAGGCCAGAAATCATAGTTCCTTCCACTTCTATTCTTGGGAACAATATCGTATTCACACTTTCGAACAGAACAAACAAGGCGGGAAATGAATGCATCCACGGATTCACCAGATGCATGTTTCAGCTGCGAAAAATTGTATCGAGAAGTATAAGTGTTCATTCGAGCACCCCAATGTTTGTTGAAGGCCGATAAGGCCCATGTCAACGAGGATTTCTCCCGCAGGTTTAGAGCATCAAATATACATCGACCATCTGAACCGAAGTGCAAGCGCAAAAGCCTTAAAGTATCCTCCGTTTTCATTGTCACGGATGGAATGAGAACTGGTAGCACAGAAATATAAGCTGAACACTAATTTCCCAGCATTCTACGTTTGGGGTAACTGCAGAGTCAGTCCAGAATGGTGCAGGAACAGCAGCATGCAAAGACATCGGTAGCAAGCCAACTTGTTGTATCACGAAAAAGCAGCAGACCAGAGCAGCACCGAAACGCACGTATGGAAAAACTGTGTGCACATTTGCACAATGAAATCGATAGACCATCGAATTGTAACCAATCAAATGCAAGACCACATGACTGGCCAACGAGTGCTAAATAGAAGTGTGAGTAAGATAAGCAAATCAAGGGCAAAACAAAGCAAAGTATTTGAACCCCACAAGGACATAACTCGCAGTCGACATAAGCGGTGTATTTTCTGCCGTTTATTTGTCTGACTGCCTGTTTAAAGTTTGGTGCTGAGTTAACTGCGGGTTAGTGGCTGATTATGACGCGGGGCAGTGAAAGCCGCAAGGAGCTGTCTCGCTGATGCCGCTTTATTTTTGCACCATAGCCAGCAGTTTGTGACAGTATGTTGTTGACAATGTGTAGGCCACTTGTTCCTGTTTGCTTAGGACAGTGAGGTTTTATGATAAGTCCTCCTTCTCTTGCAATATTCTTCGTTCCGTAGGTCGTTATGATTGTATGGCAGCGAAGCATTGATTCAGATGGCTGATGTAGTGCTGTTGTTGTTGAATGATGATGTAGATTTAGCGAGACGATACCACAATGCATGCATGCTTGGGAGACAGCGTAACTCGTTTCTAATGAAGTGAAGAGTGAGGGTCAACGCGACTGACCAAAATGTGAGTGCCGACGTTGAGAAAGCTGATGTGAGGCGGAATATTGGCCAGTAGGACCAATTAGGCAAGTCGTAGCCATTGGTTGTAAAATCCCCGAAAATATCCTGTTGGCAACTTTCGAAAAACGTAAACAACGAGACAACAAAAAATTAGTGCGGCCTCGGATTATTATAACCACAACTACGGAGACTAGATTTAAACACAGGGAGTTACTGAATCAAAACATTTAATCGATTAGGCTACGTGATTGGCCTGGACCTTCTAGAATCGGGGGAAGTGGAGTAATGGCCATCGCGAGTCATGGCGGTGTGGCATAAACAAACCTTACTGTGTACACAAGTCCGGGCTTACGAACCGAATCGCAATCGCCAATGGTGTGGACATCTAACCAATCATGCATGGCGTCCGGGTACGCGAGATGGATGGCGTCAGACGAGTCGATTTGGTGACTATACTCCACTAATAGGGATAACATTGCCCAGTTTGACTCTTCAGCGGTGTGAGGTAGAATGACGAGTGAATGTTGTGGAATCAATCCGAATGCATTTGAGCACACGTCACTAGTAATCTTGAAGGTTGGAGAGCACAAGCTCTGAAAACCAGTTTACTGGAAACCAAGCAGCAAAGTGCCTTCGTTCTTTTAGGTGAAAACCGAACGCGACACAACTGCGGTTAGTCATTATCGCAGGTGTATGCCTTAATATGGTCAGACGAATGGAAGAAAAACATTTGTTTACGTGATTCCTACCCAACGGGTATTTCTGCAGTTTCATCTGAAAACACCGGAACTGCAAGCGTGCAGCTACCGCAGCTGAACTAACGACGAAACGGATCGAATTGCCAGATATCAGAAATGATCGCTAGACTCCTTAAACCGCGTGACCTGATAGTAGCTCCCAAATCAACCGCTAGTCGAAAGGGAAGCCTGTCTAGAAGGAACAGGAAAGGGAATGCACACGAACGTCGAAATGTCGTTCACAAGATACACTGCCGAGACTCCGAGAAAGACTAGGTAGGTCAAGCAGGGAAGAAGCCATCTACGAGAGCACAAAAAAGCCTGCCAAAATAATTATGCATCATCACTGGGATGTTGAGGTCACACTTATTTTGGAAGAGATTCAACATGAGCTCACTTTGTTCAAACGAAACGAGGTTCCTGAACTCGACGACCTTTCACTATGTTCGAAGAAAAATGGAGTTGACTTGAATTGAGTCCCCGGTTAACAAGATTTTGGACAATGAATAAGTGTCGTAAGACTGGCGACTGTCATGCCCACTTTCGAGAAGGTTTAGCACACTTTGTGGGAAAATCATCGAGGCATTAGTCTTATTCCTATTTTCTCCAAACTTCTTACGGGTATCATACGTCGGCGACTTACCGGTACTAGTGAGAACTGAATGGGTAAGAGAGGCTGACTTTCTCCCTGGTCGTGATTGCATGGATTACATGTTTACCCTACAGAAGCGTTAGAACAGAGATACATTCAGACTATGGTGGTTTTCCTTGACTAGAAAACCGCCTTCGACTTTGCTAGTCGTTCCAGTTTATGGTACTGCCTATCCGTGAAGGGCGTACCACCTAATTTCTTTTCTATTCTGAAATTTCTCTACCGTGACTCCATAGATCGGGTTAAAGTCTACAGAAACCTATCTCCTGAGTTCCCCAAGAGTTGACTCATAACCCATTTCTCTTCAAGTTTGAGATCGAAATAATCATGAGTGACTTGATTCTTCCAGAAACAACCAGAGTGGAAAAGTTGCCAGATGATTGACCAACAAATCCTGAGTCTGACGCTGTGGCTATGCAAGCACCGTTGGATCGACTGGTGCGTAGCACTGCACGCTTCGGCATGCGCTTTCAAAGATCAAATTATTGCCGAACAGCCACTGGAAGTTGTGTCACTTTTGGTGGTCACATCACTGAGGAGGTTACTTCACTATCAGCAATTCCAGTGTGGCTTTCTAAAGGCTCAAGCAGCTACAAGGACAGCGAGATATCAGACTCAGTAAAAAGTAGGGTGTATATCACTGCGATAAGACCAGTGTTACCGTATGGATCAGAGACCTGGCCAGTTAGCGGCAAAGACATTAAGTGCTTGGTCGTGTTTGACCACCGATGCTCGCGAAGTATTGCTCACGTCCGGTGGGAACACCGGATGAGCAATGCTGAGGTCTGCCAGTTGGTTTTTAGCAAAAAAACCATCTGGTGTATCACTCCAGTGTTTGCTGAAACCTAACTGCCTACGTTAGCTAGATCATGTTCTCCGTATACCCGTCGACCGGCTTCCTCGGGGTGCATTATACGCCGTGGCTACACCAAGTTGGGCGAATCTACCAGGTGCCAATCCACGATATGGCAGAAAAGCATGAAGAAATTGACAGATACTTGGTTAGATTGGATGGGGATCACGAGGTGGCCCACACCAATCGTTAGAGACCCTATCAAACATGGTGCAGTTGCGCAGTCAGTGGCGTTCTTTCATTTAGCCGTTAATCTTCACTCGGTCGCAATTAGTTTAACGCGCTTTTTGATTTCATTGTTTACACTCCATTTGCATTCAAACTAATTTCTGTCGTTGTTATTAACTGATATTACGGCGATGAGCCCTGGCAACTGGACCACCACCACACCTCGGTGCCCGGATCATGGTTGTCTAGATGAACTGATTAATGGTCTCAGTGCACGTCGACGAAATGGGGCACAATTCTCAATGCGGCCACACGGAGATTCTGAGAAGGGAAGGGACAGGAAAAAAAAGGGAAGTACTCGAAGCGTAGTTCTCTACAGTAAACGTACGCAATGACCCAGAACCGGTGTACCAACAACTAATAAGGGAAGTGGACAGACCGTAAACTAAAAGATGAGACAAAGAGACAGCGGGTACCGAAGTACGGTGGATCCAATCGCCACGACTAAGATAGCTAGAATAACAATAACTAGCAAAGGTAATAAAACGAGGCCGAATGCAAATAGTAAAGACAATGAAATCAAATAAGAGCTTGCATAGAAAGGGCGCAGAATAAATTTGTGTAACCGTTAATCACTGATCCGTCTAGCACGCACAGACACAATAACACATGTAAGCCATTCAGCGTGGTGCAAAGAATCATTGAGGTGCGCGACCATTGTGGTCAGCTATGACACGGTGTTATGATGGTGGTCTTCACGCATAATCCGTGAAAATGGTCCAGCTAGGCCAAAGATAATCTATAAAACAGCTCGAATCACAACAATAGCAACCGCTTCAACGCGACTTTATATCAGGCATCGTAATGCTTCTCGTTGTACGCTCATCGCTGCTCTCGTCACTACTAGCAGAGCAGAAAGCCCGAACTCACACGCTGGTTCGTTTCTGGGTTCTGTTAAGCTACACTATGCTTACCTGTCGCAGTATTCGGCGAGTGTGCCGTCTGCGGATATCGTGACAGTCTTTATTTGGATTAGAAATGAAACGCCCACAATCGGATCCTTCGTATAAGAACCAACCCCCCCCCCGCGTTAGTTGCTCAATTAAAAACGCCGCCGCTAGGACCATGTGATGCTAATATGACATTGCTTCCGGTGCAGCTTCCTTAGTCAGTTCAGCCGTGAGGAAAATAAGGTGGAATTATTATAACCAAATATTCTCCAGACAACCCATTTTGGAACAGAGTTACGTGCGACTAACACTCCTAAAAAGTAAAACGTACTATCAAATGCAATCAAGCGCAGGTATAATAAGGGAAAGTGAAATTCATTACAGATTACAAAGCCGCACAATTAAGGTTACGTACAGACAGCTAGTTACAAAATAGCTTGTTATCAATCGACAAAAATATCGTTCTTCTTGAAGAGAAAGATAAGCATTGTTTATCATTAGTCTCTGTCGAACTGTTCCAAATTGTTTTTGGATCAATAAAAACTCCTGGATGCCGTATGGACCTGAATATATCTTTCAATTCATCGTAAGACAAATCCTGGTAGGACTTAACTGTTATCAAATCAGAAGGAAAAAGGGCACTTATTGTTGACAAAGATGGGTGGCAAGAGAGAATAGATTCTATGGGAGCCGCTAACGCGATGACAAATACGGCGTTACCGGAAAAGAGTGCTTGAAAGATTGTTTGAAGGAATGATTTGGAGATGGATGCGCTTGTAGCAAAATCTTCGGTCAATATAAATATGACAGGTCCTAGGGGCATTAGCCACTGACGTGATAAAAGCAAGGAGTCGACAACCGAATCAGCTTCACTTTTGAAGTCAAAACTTCGCTGTCCACCTATGAAGTCGTTTGAGAAACGCAGAAACAAATTCCAAGCGCTGGCAACGACCTCCGAAAGACAGGCGAATTGTCCCATATTGTTGAAAATACTACGCTTGACTCCACATAACCCTTGAGAAATCCACGCTTTCTGGGCTTTAAAAGCAGCATACAAAACCTTGGTGAATTCCCTCTGTAGTTCAATATGGTCATCATGTTCGGCATCTCCGCGTATGACTGTCGGTGACATATCACCATAGAATTCTAGACCACCTGTATACATGGATGACAAAAGCTGAGTAGGTGGGGTGTTGACAAAAATGGACTGTGCACCGGACTCTAACAATGCCAAGCCCAGCTGCCATGGAAGAGCGGTTGAGTTCAGCCACAAATTAACGGCTAAATCAGAATTTGAACCGGTGTCAAGAATCCTCCTTTGCTCAAATTGAAACCGGTTTATAAAATGTGAGGCGATCAAATGAGCTTCTCTCGCGGTTCGGAATCTGATAATAAAGCCTACGTCTCTAGCGTGCCAAAGAGCGTCACCGGATAGAGCAGATGGACTCAAATCACAAACTATCCATGGTGCAGTAGACGCGTTGCATTTGTTTAATAGCTTCGCACCAAAATCCCTCTGAAGGGACTGTATGAATTTCTCGGGTACTGTTGAGTTGGTTTGGACCTGGAATTTATTAATGAGTAAGTGCTCCAGTTTTTTGTGGAATTTCACTTCAGCAGCTTCTTCAAGTAGTATTATAGAGGACCGCCACTTGGATGATCCGGAACAAATAAGACTCAAAGAGCTGTTCGCAGCTGCTTCCATGTCGGAGGAGTGAAAAATTACTGATAAAGTCTGGCCGAAGGACATAGTTATTTCTTCACTCTGTTGAACGATTGCTGGAATGAATGAAAACAGGTTTGATGGTGGTGAACACTTGTCCACTAAAATAGTGAATATTTGCAGCGCAATTGCAACTGTTTTTGAGTGACATAAAACCACTAAACCAAGTGATGCATTCAAAGTTAAAGCGGATATGATGCGCCGCAGGATGCATCCGATGTGAAAAAGTGAGTCCGTTTCACTCTCACCAACGATATAGACAGGGGAGTTGCTCAAAGCGGAACATCGCAACACATCAGGACAGTTTGTCGATTCAAAAAGCTTTGGTAATACAATCGAGAATACATCGGTGATCATAGCTGCGTCATCTGGGAAGGCTGAGTGGACACATGCGGCAGATAAAACCTGTCGAATCGATTGCAATTCTCCCAGTAAATCCATCAAAAACCTCTTGCCAGTGTCCAAATCTGAGGCATCGAGAACAGTATTCGCCAGTGCTTTCGGCAAGAGCGCAGTTGTATCATCAAGGAGGAAAGAAACACCACGAAAAATATATTCCATAGGCCTTTCGCTACAAAGCTCATGAAATTCACCACACGTATAGGCTCCAACCGCTCTCCTATTCGTCTTAAAATAGTCTTGTAGTCCACCAAACGATACCTCGTTCATTTTGTGCACGAGAAAGTTATGTGGAGAAAACCGCCTCGACATTGAGCAAGCAAGTGTAGGGAAATACAAAAATTCGCAGTATAAAAACAGGGGTAGTAAGGTTCACAGTCAGTGAACAATAGCGGAAAGCGAACCGAATAAAGACACGGCACCGGATGAAAGTCACCAAGCAAATGGAAAATAGCTTGTGAGATTAGCACATGCAAAACCGTAAAGCTCAGTAAAAATGATATCCTTTTTGGAATAATGGATCTTCATGAAGACGAAGATGATTCTGCAGAAGCATCAAGGGAAAAGTTGCTAGCATTGAATTCGCAAAAGAAAACGGGCGTCATGGTGAGACGCATCCCGTGTTTTGCATGAAAGCAGGATGATTGTCCAATAACGGATGTTGTATGCGTCCATATGATGATTCCGAGGGTTTCGTGTCCAATGCGTAATTTGGTCGTAATAGACCTGGGGGCTGCAAAAAAAGAAAAATAGATCGTAGGCGACTGGACGAAGTGAGCGAGCACAATGGATGTAAGCTACGGCTGGAAGACACCTCGTGGCACAGTGGATGTAAGGGGGATCGAGCCTGAGCTGAATGGATGGTAAAAAGAAACAAGGGTGATGACCGTAAACGAAACCGGAAGGTAATGAGAAGAGGAAACAACAAGACCGCATAGCCGAAAATTCGCGTCAACGGAGAAGGGAACAGGCAGAGAAAACAGAATGCACTCAAACTGATATAAAGAAATAGGTTCACTCGATGGAAAAGGTTTAGAAGTCTGGAACATGGATTTCACACGCTTTAAGCAACAACAACAAAAACCAACGAGCCACAATCTCCGCTGGTTTGCTTGCCCGTCACTGGTCAACTCAAGGACACAAGCAACGATTTATTTACAGAATCGTTACGGGCGACGAAAAATGGTGTCGGTACATTACTATGAAGCAGCGCAAGGAATGGTTTAGCTAGGCACACAAGCGAAACCGTGCGTGAAACAAGATCTTCATCGCGTAAAATGATGTGTGAATGGTGGGACTGGGAAGGGATTGCCCATTACGAATCGCTTGAACGAAACGAACGGTCAACGCGGAACTCTATTTTTAAAAGATGTAACGAATCAACTTGATTATTCTAGAGAAAAGACCTAACCGACAGCACGGAGTATTTTTTGCTGCACGACAACGTCCACCTTCATATCACCAACATGACCAAGGAAGCCATTCAAACACATGGCTGGGAAGTTCTGCCACACCTGATGTACTCTCCCGATTTGGCACCAACGGATTTCCACCTCTATCGGTTTCTTGCAAATGTTATGCGCGGACTTTAGTCCAATACTAATGCACAATTGAGAGCTTGGTTGGGCGCCTTTTTCGAGTCAAAGCCGGGTGATTTCTATAAAGGAAGCATTGAAAATCGTGTTGAAGGTTGGGAAGTTGCAATTAACAAGGATGATGATGATGATTAATTATTGTTAAATTATGCACATATATAAGAAAAAATACGGGCAACAATTTGTCTAGTTTCCCACTCACCGTTTTTAAGTTTTTTTCTTGATAGTTTACTTTATTAAGGGGAGGAGAAAGGTAAGTCATCGCAACACGTAGGGATACACGTTCACCACTGACGTCAGGCTTGTGCCATGATTTCCAGGGTTTCCAATCAGCATCTCTGGGACCCAAACCAGGGAGTCAAGAACAACCGACTGAGGCATACAATGTGAAACGTGTAACGGTTCGTCCAATGAGTCTTGTACTGGAATGGGTCCGAAGCATTATGCTTCCTCGGTTGGTAGCCAGAGTTTACAACTGTAGTGGCTGCTCTAAATGCTGCGTACCAGCAAAGGATAGCCTACTGTCTCTAGATATGAAAGCAGATTGGGCAGTGAAGTGCCAAGATGGCAGTTATAGTCAGTAAGAACACAATGCAGGATGTAGGCAATTGTCAGTCCTGAAAACTTCGACATATCGTGTCTCAAATGAGTGTGCCTGGTAGTAATGATAACTCGTGATAAAGTTTTTGAAACGGCTGTTAGTAAAAGTGAAACGCGGGCTTCTGTGTATGTCAAGGAAAAGCGCAAGTTGGTAATATCAAAGGCAGCTGAGGTGCATTTTCCGTTTTCCCCATGCCTATTGCCTTTGAACTAAACACCGCCGCACCCTCCTCGCACTTAAAACCGCTTAAAAACCGGATGCGAAACCGTAAGCACCTGATTCCATGGATGGTGCCGTGAATAAACAGCATCGTGGAGACTCGTACCCCGATTGTAGTTTTTTTTCAATCTAGAGCCAAACAAAACCATGAAATTCAGCGGACGACAGATGGAATCGTCATAGCAGCAACATTATAGCACATTAGTTGAAGATGAACAAGACATTTCAGCTATTGTCGTAAGAAAAAAACCGGAATCTTTTTGCCTTTTTAACTGTTAGGCGTTAAGTGTCTAAATACAAACAATTGTGTAAACAGATCTTCCATTGATTTCGAATATGAACCATATCCTGATTTGTTTCCGCAAATCGACACTCTTCGTCTTTAGGTCCCCAACCAGACAAGCACGTAGACTGAATGGCAACAAGACGTGAAGTCAATGATTTCATATGTTGTCGCCAAGTGGATGGTTGACTGCCACGTGGTCTCTTTCAGTCGATTTTTGCACGAGCAAAGAGAGCTCATTTGATATACGCAAAACATGGCCTAACCATCTTAACTGGCACAGTAAAATCAGTTTGTTGAAGGGAACACTCGCATTCCCTAAGACACGACGTCTGACATTACTGTTGCGACACATAAGCAAGTCTCCACAACCACCCTTTATGGAAGGCTAAAAGCCGGCGCAAGTCATCTACGCGAATTGGCCATGACTCGCTGCCATATAGCAACACCGCTCGAACTGTGGCATTGTAAACTCGACCCTTAACAAAGAGGGAGACATCCGGACGACGCCAGGTTGACAACCGTAGGTCGGGCTTTGGCGATGTGGGAGAGAAATTTCTTTTCTGATAGCGCCACCAGCAGACACATAGCTGCCAACATGTTCAAGTGAGCAAGAAAACGGGAGAATGCTAATCCTGAAGCAGCACTTTACTTTTCGACGGGGCGAAGCACATTCCGTACTTAGACGCCTCAATAGCCAAACGATTTAAGATGATTTGTATACTCCGCGAGTCGTCACCAACTAGTGCGATGGCACCGGCATAAGCTAAATCGGTTGCTCACTTACCCGGTATTAGTTTCAGAGCAAAATGGTGGTAACCGTCCGGGGCTCTCGAAAGACGCCTTCAATCGCGAAGTTGAAGAGGAACGGGAACATAGTGCAGTCTTGTCGTACACCGCTACTGACAGCGAAAGACGAAGAAAGTTTGCCATAGACCCTCAATCTGCCGGAGAAGTGGAAGTAGAGTGCGCGAAGAATGGTTGTATACTTTTCGGAGACTCCGTCCCTTAGCGAGCAATGTCACAGAGTAGGTGGATTAACCGAGTCGAATGCGGCGCGGATGTCTAAGAATGCAACGATGGTAGGCCAATGGTAATGGTGGCGATGTTCGAGTAGTTGGCGCAGAATGAATATTTGATCCATACACCAACGGCCAGGATGGAAGCCAGCTTGTTCTTCCCGATACTGTGATTCCCGAATCGGGGATAATGCACGAACTAGAATGGATACCAAAAGCTTTGACGCAACGGAAATAAGACTGATACCCCGGCGTTTAGCGCACAAAGTGAAGGAAACTGACTTGAAAACTGGGACAATACTGACACGTCCCACGAAAGTACCCCTTCTTCGTGTCGGATTTTGAAGAACAATGAGGTTAGCTGAATAGTTACAAGTGCACCACCAAAGGTGAACAGCTAAGGGAGGAAGTTCGTCTGAGCCGGCAGCCTTGAATCGCTTCAAATGCCAAATCGCAAGACAAACTTCTGCTTCACTGGGTGGGCAGCTGGATTCGTAGGGTATACAAGTGGGCGGTGAGTGTCTACTGAATTGCGAAGGAAAATGTTCGGTCCATCGATCGAAGCGACTGGGTAGGCTACCAATCAGCGAGCCGTCAGCTTCGCAGATGGACACTGGGCTTCATGTGTGGAACAAATGAGCTGGAAGAGCTTGCGAAGTATTGCCAGAGAGGACAGTGGCCTCCACTTCCGAAGCACATTGAGAATACGAGGCGTAGACTTTGTTTGAGATGCTGGCAGACAGAACGACGCACCTCGATATGATTAGACTCAGTTGGAATACTTCTGCAGCGATCAAACAGATCCAGGGAGCGCGTGGAGATCCAGATCTTTATAGGGTGCTAAGACCACAGGCTGACTGTCATGAAACAATCATGGTCTTCTGCATGAATACCCAGCGTCCGTCAATGTCTTGTAGTTGGTGCATCAGCCAAGGAAGTTTGAGAGCTCTGCTGAACCGAAAGAGCAAATAGTTTATTTGCATCTGCTTCTTTCGGGGATCCTCCGGAACTCATACAGGTGTTCGCACAAACAGGAACATGATCTGAGTCGAGAAATGTGGGCCAGATGGATCTGCAATCGTTTACACTACCCCACCATCTGTAACTAATTGCGATGTGGTCCATATGAGACCATGACTGAGTCGGAGATGGCGGGTGCCAAGTAGCTGAACGTCTCCACGAAGGCCTGGAGCTGATGCTCGAGATAAACAGATGACTGTCTTCGCAGTGTGAGAAGTTTTTCTCCAATATCGGAGCCGCTCTCATCGAGTGCATGTTGACCACAGATGTGACTTCCACATGAAGATAAGCAAGGACAATAATATCGGATTTGGAAAGTGCTCAAAAGTTAGTAAAATTCACGCTAGATATCGTCCATGATCAAGTCACAACTACAATCAGTTCTTGCTGCTGGGAATTAATGAGGCATGACAACGCATCTGCCTGGCCCATTGAATCCGATAATCGATAACGGATTTCAAAATCATAGCCCATCAAAGTAAGTGCCCATCGTTGGAGTTGATTGGCTGTATAGGCAGAAATTCCCTTCTTCGAGCCGAAAATGGCCAGCAGCGGCTTGTGATCTGTCAAGAGTT